CAACAGTGAAAGGTAGTTCTTCCTTGACTAATCTTGCCACTGGCCTAAGTGTGCCAGGTACTGAATGAGACAGAGAAAGGCAGGCCTCTGTCCCCCAGTTCCCGCAGGCAGCCATGCCGGCTCTCCTGACGCTGCCTAGGAGGGAAGAACCTTCCCTCATGCATCTTCTTCCTCCTGCCCTGGGAGGTGGGTCGTGGAAGCGCCTGGGCTCTGAGCCACTGAGTAGGGCCCTAAAGGTGGGCATGGAGCACAGAGACAAGACACAAACGGAAACCAGGACCCACCTCACCACCGGGTACGTGGCTCTCACTCCCATCTTGCAAATAAAGACCCTGAGGCTACAATAAAGAAGCCGCCATCTTGCAAATAAAGACCCTGAGGCTACAATGAAGAAGCCGCTTTCCCTGGGTTACAGGTGATTTGGGCAGGGTCACGACAGCCCAAGCCTGTCCTCAGAGTGGGGTCCAGGACTACAGAATATCAACTAGGGGTGGGGGTGGGCACAGAGCTCAGGGATGGCATACCCACCTACCATGTGCAAGGCCCCACGCTGGACAATACTGTGACAAATAAACTAAGGAAATGACTAGTACGGGTTTGAGCTCAGCTTTCGCTGGGAACTCCTGCCCACCTCAGGCGGATCCTGAAGCTGTCCACAGCGGAATAGTGAGCGGCTGCCCTCACAGAAAGGGTCGTTCCAGACCAGAGCCGGCCAGGTTCCAGGTCACTCACTCCTCACTTCGATGCTCAGGCACGGACACCTTCCTCAGCCCCTCCCACTGGGAACTGAGCGTTCAGGAAGTCCTGAGGAGCGCACAGGGTTGCCCTGCTCCCCGGGAGGCGCTCTGGGGAGAGCTACCATTCTCTCTGCTCCTTGTTCCTGGAGACAAGTGGACCCTCGAGCAATAATTATCTTAGATCGGCCTCTTTCCAAGCCACATAATCAACAATGGGTGAGCAGCCCAACCTTGACCTGGGCAGTGTGAACCCTCCCACCTGAAAGCAGTCCCAGCCCCTGCCTCTGCCTGGCCTGTGGCTTATGCAGTCCCTTGCCGTGAGATGAACACCCAGTGAGGTCAGGCGGCCCTGGCCGGCCTCAGAACCAGGGGCTGGACCAGGAGAGGGCTTCCGGACATATTCTCTATTGGCTTCAGGGTCCCAAAAGTCCTCCAAAGGGAGTACAGAGCATGGTGGTGTCAGCTAGTGACAGCATGCTTTTCTGGGGAACTTTCGTTAGCCTTCCCCGGGCCCTGGAGGTCAAGTTAGAGACCCACCATTTGCTAAGGCTGTTTTAGCCCCTAGCAGCCCAGCATCCAACCCAGAGTCCAGCAGTCCTGGCATAGGCCTTTAATCCCAGCACTCTGGAGGCAGAGGCAGGCAGATCTCTGAGTTTGTGGCCAGCCTGGTGTACAGAGCGAGTTCCAAGACAGCCAGGGCTACACAGAGAAACTCTGCCTTTAAAAACAAACGAACAGTCAGAATCCAACCCAGGACCTTGCACATTCTAGCCAAACACTCTGCTGCTGAGCTAACCTGCTGCCCAGAGAGCCCCTGAAGAGGTCGCCTTGAAGGCCTGACCGTGTCAAGCTAGATTCTTCCGTTGTGTGTATTAAAAACAAGCCCCAGTCACTCCCTCTGCAACTTAGGGTAACTCCACTTCAGCTCCAAGAAACACCATGAGATTTCCCTTCTCTGGGCGTAGGGGCTCCCATACACACCACTGAGCTACATCCTGGCCCTTTTTTGTTGGTGGTAGTGGTTGGTCTTGAGACAGGACTCACTCTGTGGCTCTGTAATTCACTGTGTAACCTAGGTTAGCTTTGAACTCATGGTAATTGTGTCTCAGCCTCCTTAGTGCTGGCATTACAGGTGTTAGCCCTCAAGTCCAATCTTGTTTTGTTCTTTTAATTCAAGACAGGGTTCCTCTGTGTAGCCTTGGCTGTCCTGGACTTGCTCGGTAGACCAGGCTGGCCTTGAACTCACAGAGATCCTCCTGCCTCTGCCTCCCGGAATGTTGAGATTACAGGTGTGTGTCACCGCGCCTGGCCCTCCCATCCAGTTTTACTCTGGCTCTATTTCTTAATTCTTTGCAGGGAAGTCTTGGAGTTCAGTGTCACACAGCTTTGAAGAATCTCTCCGCCCTGGTGTCCCTCATTAACCTCTAGCTCCCGGAACACAGCAGGGTCAACCAGGACTAAGAGTTCAGATGAGTATGGCTCACCCTTGCCCCAACTTCTGTCCACTGCTGGCAAGAGCTCTCAAGGCTACAGACCGAAGGTGCGACAGGCCTTGGTCACCTTCCAGGTTGCAGGCCTGGGACCATCCTGAGCCAGGCTCCTGTGTCAAGCCTGGGTTTCATTAAATAAAGTGACGAAGTTATTAAATGCCAAGGCAAGAAGAGGCAAAATTCTGCTAGAGGGGTCAGGGAAGGAGAGGGCAACCAACCAACCTGTCCCCTGACCTCCTCCATGACCAGTGGCGGGGGGAAGGGAGGCAGGCCTCCTCAGGACCCTGGGCTCCAGCAGTAGGAACTAGCGGTGGGGAGTGGGGGCGTCCGGCCAGATAATAAGCAATTGTTAATGTGATCCATATGGGTCCTGACTGGCCTCTCTGTTTAACAGGATGATAATGGCGGTGAAAGAATGCTGGTCTGTGGGGAAGGAGAGGGGCAAAGTCCTCCCTGGACTTGGGGGGTGGGGAGAATCATCAAGGAGGAGGGGAGAGGGGAGGAAGAAAGGAGGAGCTGAGCCACTCAGGACGGCAGAGCTCTTGCCCAAAGTGACCAGCTCCCGGGCTTTGCAGACCATCCTGTTAAAGTCCTCGCAAAACTCCTTTTCCTCACCCAGCCAGTATTTATGGGCCCCCCATGGTACAAAGTACACTGTGGGGCAGGGGCCACAAGTGGAGGCAAAGCCTGGTTTGGACCCAGCCACCATGGAAGACAGGTACAGGTGCGGGGCTGGGAGAGGGAGGAGGCCGGGACAAGTGACAAGAACTGGGGACGCTGGCGAGGCTGGGGGGGGGGGGGAGCATCCTGGCTGGGCCTGAAGAATGAGGAGGTTGTGGCAAGACCGGGACAATGGAGAAGGCATTTGGCTGAAGGAACAGCAGGAGCAAAGGCAGAGAGGCGTGAAATTGCGTGGAGAGCCTGAGATTCAGCAATAAAGCTGCAGCCAGGCAGGGGAGGGGAGGGACTCTTGATCCATAAAACGCTGTGGCCATGGATGTCCAGGAGGGAGGCAGGAACGGGCTACGGGAACACCACACAGTGCTCAGGTCCCTCCCTCTTGCCTGCCTTTTCCCTGCCTCGATCCGGCTGCGCGCTGGAGTTGTCGAACCAGACGACCCTCAATCTGGCCACTGCCTTCCCCAGAGCCAAAGAATAAGCAGGGCCTTGGAGGCCCGCCGGATCCCCGTGTCACCCAGCCCCCTCCTCCTCCGAAGGAGGCCTTCCAGGAGCAGGGCTGACCTGCTCTACAACTGAATTCCCGTTGGCCCAGAAGGGCTTCCCCTCAGGAGACAGCGAGGGCGTGGGGGTCGCTTCTGGCCGCTGCGCACACCAATGGAATCAAGTGGAAATAAATGAGATGGTGTTAAATACGGGTAAGGGGGATTTACGAGGCCTGTCACACAGCCCTCCCGGGCTGTCCACGCAAGCTCCTCCCCTTTCTTCGGGCGACTGGAGAAAGCCCCGCCCCGCCCCCTGCCCGCTCCGCTCTGGGATCCTGGGGCACTGCAGCTCCGCACCCCCTTCCTGCCCGTTACGGCTGCCCCTGGGGGTGGGAGAGCTAAAGCCCAGCAGAGAAGGGCGTTCGCACCCGGCCCAGGGGTTCTGGAAGGGGCCCTGGGAGAGTCCGAAATTCCCCCACGCAAGCGAGGGCTCTGGACCACAGCGTCTCCAGACTCCGGGTGTTCCGGGGAAGGGCTCAAACCCCGGGAGCCGAGAAGCCCCCAGAGTGGACACCCGAAGTGGGAGGGGGATAGGCCCCCGTTCCGAAACCCGCGGCTGAGAGCAGGAGCCCGCTCCGCCTCCGCGGCCCTTACCGACCACACAAACATTCTTCCGTCCTCTATTCTCCTCCAAATTAGGTCTCCATGGAGACAGGCCCGGCAGCCTGACAGCCCCACGGCCTAACCCTGATTTAGTGACCGTCCCTTTAACAGCCCACCTACCCCTGCACTCCGGGCCGCCGCGGGGCGCAGGACGCGGGCGCTCTGGCTCTCCCGGGCTGGGCGCCCCGCGGCCCTCCAGCGGGAGCCACTGGAGCGGAGGGTCCCGGCGGAGGCCGACAGCACCGGGCTCTCCCTGTGCCCGACAGTCCACGGGGACCCTTCGCCACGGTGCAGAGGCCGGAGGAGGGCTCCCGGGGCGGGGAAGTTTAAGGGGCTCTCGCTAGGGCTGGGAACTCCGGGGGCTCCGAGTCAGCAGCGGCCCACGGGGGAAAGTGGGCGCAGCTTCACGCGGCGCCCGGACCGCGAGCTGGAACCGCTGTCCCGGGCCGAGGAGCAGCCAGGGGCGTGCGCGCTGGGGGCGCGGGGACCGCGATGGCCTCGGCCTCCTGTCACTGCCCCGTCACGATGCCGGGGGACCTCCAGGCCGGTCACCCTGCCCCCACCCCCTCCCGCACACCCGGAGGCCGCTGGACAAAGACCCGACGGAGTGGGAGGGGCCTGCGGGCTCCGGCCGCTGGATCCTGGGGGGACCCGAACCCGCAAATCCCGGCTCCCTCTCTCCCCGGAGCCCGCCGCTCGCTAACATCGCCTCCCGGGCCCCAGCCCCGTCGGCGGTGGGCGGCGATCGCCCCCTTCCTCACGCGACGTGACCCCAGGCCCCACGCACCCGCTCGGCCCTCTCCCGGCCCTGCCCTCCGGCCCCCGCCCGCCCAACCGGGCCTCGCACGGCCCCGCGCCCGCGGACAAAGCTTCGGACGTCGGACCGCGCAGGGGCCACCCGCTGCCCCCCAGCCCGGCCAGCCCGCGCCCGGGCCCGCGACACCTACCTCGGCATCCCGGCCGGGTCCTAGGTGAGTGTGCGCGGCCTGGGGGGGGCGTCCGGCCCAGGGGCCGGGGCGGGAGCGCGGGCCGGGGGCGACGGGCCAGGGCTGGGGGGCAGCGGCGCTCAGCATCCTGGGGCCGCTGCTGCTGCTGCGGCTGCTGCGGCCGCCGCGGCCGGGAGCGGGACTGGGCAGTGGGGGTGGCCGGACGAGGGGCGGCCCAGGCTCGCCCCCCCCCCCGCAGGCAGGACCCCCACCCCGCCTCCCCTCGCCCGCCCCCAGCGCCCTCCCTCCAGGCCCGCGCCCCGCCCCTCCCGGCGCCCCGCCCTCGCCCGCCCCGCCTTTCCCTCCCCCCCCCCGGGCTCGAAAATAAATTAGCCACCCGGGGGAGAAAGGAGCGAACGACCCTCCGCGCGAGAGCGTCCTTGCGCCGCTCTCAGGCCGCGCGCCCGCCCGCTCCCCCGCCGTCGGAGCGGGAAGTTGCGCCGGGGGCGGAGGTCGGGCCTGGAGGCGGGGAGACCGGGGAGGCCGGGCGGGCGCGGAGGCCAGCGTCCAGCTCCGGGCTGCCCTGAGTGGCCGCTGGCTGCGAGCCGCTTCCTGGGTCGAAGGGCAAAGGGGAAGGCGGCCGGCCGGACCCGCCCCGTCCGCTGGCCGCCGAGGCCACCCCCTCTAGGACGCCTGTGGACTCTCGCCTGCGCCCCTGCCCTGGGTGCGCGGGGCACCTGCCGCGGGTAAACGGATGGCCAGGCCAGAGCCTGCACGGGTGCTGCAGGACACGTGGGGCGTGTGGGAGGCGAAGACCGGCCCTGGACACGCAGGAGAGCCTCCCCGAGGAGGACCCCGGCCGCCTGCGCGGACCCCCCGCACACCCCGCGGGTTTACTGGCTGCACTCGGGACTGCGCTGGGCAGCTGCACTGTGGCGAGCGCCGACGCCAGCTTTAGGCAGGCGTGTCAGGGCCTCGGTGGTGATAAAGGCCAAGACTCCCTCCGCCTAGGAGGCCGAGGCACGGCGCGCCGGTTATGGGGGAGGTTCTGGAGGAGCCCACAGCGTCCAGAGGATCAGTGACCAACTTCTGAGGCTTCCTTTCCTTCCGGGTGGACAGGACTCACGCTGGAGGGGCTTCCTCAACCCGCAGAACAGGCCTCTGGCCTCTGAGTCTGGCAGAACTCTCAAGACTGTCCAATCCCTTCACCAGTGACTATGTCTCCCCGCCCCCGCAGCCTAAATATGGACATAAGACCAACATCTAATAAAATTCTGAAGTTCATCGAAACCAGGGACCTTTCCGGCCACAGAATCTTCCTGTTTACATCCCATCTTCCGGCCCGTACCCCATACCTCCACCCACACACCCTGACACAAATCAGGGATGTGCCAAGCCTCGGGAGTTTTGGGCCAGGCCGCCAGCGTCATGACCACAGAGGAGGGCGCACACACTCAGACCCCACCTTAGCGGGGCAGGAGATGGGACAAAAGCAGGAACTTTCCTTACCGTTGGGACCTCTTCGGCCAGAGAGAAGGGACTTTTTCAGGAGAGCTCAAAAAGGCCTGACTCAGAGCCCACTGCACACCCATTCTCAGGGCCCCAGTCCTTGAAGCCCCTTTGAAGGCAGGAGGCAGGACTTACGAGGCCAGTGTCCACAGGAGCCGAGTCTGAAATTGTGCCAGGACGCCAAGCCCGGCTGGCCTTGCTGATGAGTGTCTCTGGGACCAGGCTGCCTCAGGTTCCCTCAGAGGCTTGAAGGACTGTTAACATCGGCCTAGAGACAAAGCTTGCTCCAGCCCCAGGGGGACACTCAGCATGCTGCGGCAGCCTCCGTGCAGGCTCCACAGGTGAGGCCCATAACTTGGCAGGGCCACATGGTTCCGAGCCTCAGGTGGCCTCGGGTCACAGTAAGGGCTTCGGTTAGCAGGTGGGGTGGCCTGGACGCTTGCCTCCTTCACCTCCATCCTGCCCAGTGCCCAGGCAATGAAGTACCACTTGCCTTCCCTGAGCTCATTAAAGTCCTGATAATACATCACGCCAAAGCTGACACACGCTCAGTCGTGGCAAATGGCCTTTCATCATATCTCTATTCTTGGCCTTTCTGGGGGGCTAATCTCTAAGGGCTGCTGCTTGACCCCTCTCCTGTCTGCCCTCAAGCAGGGGAACTGTGCCCTGAAAGCCCCCTGCTGAGGCCACTGGGAGGCTCCTGGGGCATGTCAAGTGCCCACAATGGATTGGATAATAGCGGTGATGATAGCTAATGCCTCGCTCTTCCAGGCCTGCCACCCCCTTGCGGCCGCTTGGCTCCTGTTCCTCCCCCGATGGAGCGCCCACTGCCGATCACCCCTGGAGCAGGGCCCACTGGGTGCTTCCCAAAGCCATGCAGACTGTCTCCCACCCAGTGAAAGGGCTTAGAGGGAGGAGGGCTAGGGGAGTCAGGAGCCAGAGGAGGCAGGAGCAGGCTGGGTGAGGTAGGAAAGAGAAGGGCCCCGGGGAAGGCTGAGGGGGTGGGCAGAAAGAGAAGGAAGAGAGGAAGAGGAAAGGGCGGGATCTCTTTCTCTGTGGTCTCCTGTCGGCCCCTCAGGAGTCACCATGGGCAAGGAAGGAAGGAAGCGTGTCCTGGCCTCGGGGACAGGGAGTGTGCCCAGAGGACACCGCACCCCACCCAGCTGCTGCCGGGACTTGTCCCTGGTTGGGCTCTGGCTGCCCTGTGTACAGATGGAAGGCTGGCCTTTTGAGATTTGGGGTTCGGCCTTCAAGGCCCAGTTGCCAAAGTCTCCCCAGTCACCAAGGCCCTCCCAGCCACGCCCCACCCCGCTGCTGTTTTTAAACTTACACCAGCGCCCCCGCCCCTGCTTCGGGCTAGGCCTGGGCCAGCTCTCCACAGCCAGCCAGGGTCTCTGGAAACCTCTGCAGGAATTAGAAAATGCACACTCTCAGGTAACTGGGTCAGGCCCCGAAAACCTGCAGGGGCAGCATCAGCTCCTATCCACCTCCAGTCGCCTAACTCGGGGAGACCCGAGCACACCCCAAATCCTCAACTCACTCCAGATACTGCTGCTGCTACGTAAGTAGGCAGGGGCCCCAACCCCATCCCACAGCACAGCTTTTGCACCTGAACTGACCGTCCCACAGAACTCAATAACACCCGAGCTTTTGAGCAAGGCCAAACCTCTGAGCCTAGAATCTCATTTTCCTACTCCTATCCAACCTTCAGAGCCCAACTCAGTTGACCTTGTAAAACCCTGCAGAGTAGGTAACTCCAAACCCACCCTCCTCTAGCGACGGTCCCCAGCAGGTCCCTGAGACCAAGTCAGATCTCTGCTTCACAGAGTGCCCCCACTACCTACCCCACCCCTCACCACCACCCCCACCCCCACCCCTCACCACCAACCCTCACCCCCATCCCTCACCCCTCACCTCCACAACCTCACCCCTCTCTCCCACCCCTCACCCCCACCCCCACCCCCACCCCTCCCCACCAACCCTACAAAAAGAGGAGACACCGCACGTCGGCCCCCCCCAGGCGGAGGCGGGCGGAGGGCTGAGCAGGAGGCTTAAGTACAACCAGATGCACTTTCCCATCAGGCCCAGCCCCAGAGGGCAGAGCAGGGCCAGGGACGGGCTAGCAAACTGGTTTTCTAGATACCCACAGGCAGTCTCTCCTCTTTTACAAAGTGTGCAAAGCCAGGACAGGGTGGGGAGTTAGAAAACCAGTTTGCTAGCCCGTCCCTGGCCCTGCTCTGCCCTCTGGGGCTGGGCCTGATGGGAAAGTGCATCTGGTTGTACTTAAGCCTCCTGCTCAGCCCTCCGCCCGCCTCCGCCTGGGAGGGGAGGGGCTCAGCAAAGCCCCAGAGGTGGCCTACCCAAGCGGGGTGCTCCCTGGGCCGAGCTGCTGGACCAGCTCTAGCCCGGTCCACACCTGGTGGTGGTGGTGGTGGTGTGTGTGTGTGTGTGTGTGACCCCAGCGCCTCCAGAGGCGGGAAGATCCCTGCAAGCTCAGAGGACAGCCTGAGCATCAGCGAGCCTGTCACAAAAAAACAAAACAGAAGGAGCACTGGGGACATAAACAACAGAGTGGACCCACCAGGATGGGCCTTGAAAGAATCCAGATTCCGCTAGACAGCACCTACCGACCCCGGAGCGTGCTCTGTTCTGAGACTAGAGACAGAGAGGACCCCAGCACTTCCAGAGAAGCTGGGGGCGGGGCAGGCGCAGTTGGGGGTGAGCAAGGGTGAGGGATGGGGAGCAGGCAGCACAAGAAGCCAGAGAGGCTTGTGTGTGGCTCTAAGGGAGCATTGCAGAGGCCAGCCTGAGGCGAGCAGGGCGAGGGTGCAGGGAAAGCTGCAGGGCCCTCCCCTGGGAAGCGAGTTGGAAAGTGCTGAGCCGCCCTGCCCCGCCGCTCGCTCAGAACTCTCGGGCTCTGTTGAGCTCAGGTCGGCTCCGAGTCCAGGCTGGGCTCCGACCCAGGCAATTAGCCTGCCTCAGCCTCCTGGGTGCTGGAGTCACGGTCGAATGTCACCAGGCCGAGTGTGTGCTGTACCTGTGCACATGAAGATCGGAGGCTGATGTCAAGGGTCGTTTTCAGTCTTTCTCCGCTGTTTCGTTGTTTGTTTGATTGTTTCGGGTCTCACCTTGTAGCCCCCACTACCCTAGAGCCCACTGTGTAGACTAGGCTGGCCTGGAACTCAGAGTCCACCCACACGGCCTCCCCAGCCCTGGGATTAAAAGTGTGTCCACCTCACATTCTGAGAAAGAGTCACTCACTGAAGTCAGAGCTCACTGCCAGGCTGGCCTGCACGCTCACGGATTTTCCTGTCTCTGCTTACCATGCCTGCCACCATGCCTAGCTGTTTATCTGGGTTCTGGGAACCTAAGTTCACACCCTCGTGTTTGCACGGCCAAGGAAGTGCACGCGTGTAAGTGCACTGTGTAGCTCTTCATAGGTGGCTGCTTTGTGCCCTGAGGAGCAGGAGCCACGTTGCAAAAGTACCTGTGAGGGACACTGGCCAGCCAGAGCAGCCCACAACACACACACACAATTTGGTTGTGCAAGTAATTTTTAAAAATCTCATAAAAATCAGAAGATATTCATGCACACAAAAAAAATTCAAACACCTTTAATTCCATACCGGAAGGTGAACAACGGTAACGTTTTAATAGCTGCCGAACGTGGGTACACGTTCCGTGACGCCTGTGCGCACACACGCTTAGGGAGACTGCTTT